TAAAGAAGAAGTTCAATGTTAGAACAAAATCAGATTACAGTATATGAAGTACGCAGGATACTTGCAATGTTTCCATCAAGTCTAAAACCCGTTTCCTCCATATTGTATTTCCATTTTCCCGTAGCTTTTCACACTCTATTCTGATTACGTCACGTAATTTTTTCGCGGTATTCTGATGAAATAAACATAAATATAAGGAATCACCAACAAATCAAAGTCTAACCTTCCCTACTTACCACATTTTTCGATATACTTTTTATATATTGTTTGACATCATCTGCCCTTCCATCTTGTTCTATGTCCTGATCAATCGAAGCTAAAGTGAAAGCAGATCCTGAAGCATCAGGGCTAGACGTTAAAAATTCTTCTATTGTTCTAACAAGATCATCCCAATCCTTCTTGAAGAGATTTCGTGCTTCTGTTGCAGAAGAACTGGTTGTGTCTAGAATATTGTAACGCATTAGGCTGTAAAGAAAAGTTTTCAGCATCTAGGGTATACAGAAATATATGTATCAATGGAGAAAAGACAATAGATATACATACTCTTGCTTATGTAATTCTTCAACGTATTTGGATGAACAGCGCCATTGTTCCATTTTTGATCGGACACATACATTGTTGACAGTGAGTTTGCAATCAACGACAATATCATAAGGGGATTTCGTAAGAAGGCCATCTTCGAAGATACCATCTTTAGGATCATGGTCTTTACGTGCGGAAGCACCTGATGAAGCATCATACGAAAAAATTCGATGAGGCGTAGTATTTGGCCCATCATACTCGGGACTATTATTTTCGTTTATACCGCCAGTCATTTCCGTGCTAGACCTTGCACTTTCTGAGCTTGATGATGACGGTCTTGGTACTCCTTGTGATGATGATGGGGCTGGTACTCCGTGTGATGAGGATGGCGTGTCTTTCGTGGTTTTGGCCTGTTTACGCAAAAAATAATAGAAAATTTTGAGAAGAATTCACGGTAACAAATCCTTATAATCATAGGGACGCATCTTATACTGACTTTCTTAGCCGAACCAACCGACTCTTTATTCTGTAGATATAATAAATCAATAAGAATTATTGTAGGCAACATAAGGTCTTATCAATATACTAACCTTTTTCGTAAGGGATAACTGTTTCCGCTTTGGTATACGGACAGGCATGAAATCATCATCGGACTAAATACAAA